TATGTTATCGAAAACATTGACTGGCCGTGGGGGAGTAACCACCATGTGGTCAGAAAGCGTCACGGACACGATGAAAATCATGCTAAAACACAATTAGTCTAAAGTAAGATGTGGTCAGTAGATGCCACTACCACAGAATCAAATCTGGACATGCTAAAACTTACTATTTTATTAGTCTAAAGTAAGATGTGGTCAGTAGGTGCCACTACCACAGAATAAAATCTGGACATGCTAAGACGTACTATTCGTCTAAAGTATGATGTGGTCAGTAGATGCCACTACCACAGGGTCAAATCAGGACATTCTAAAACGTACAATTACTCTAATGCAAGCTGTGGACAAAACAGAGTTGTTTAATATGATATTTATGGTCACACCCGCCCTCTCTCATTATGAAACGTGAAGCAGGCGCCCCAGGCAAATGTTTTGAAAAGCATACCAGTTCACTCCCTCCCCATTATGAAACGCGAAACAGGCGCCCCAGGCTAACGTTTCGTAAAACATACATGTAACATAATGACAAGGATTAGACTTTGCAATGCTCCCCACAATTAAATTAGTGAGGCGATTCTCCACCAGCCAATCTAGATAGTCCGATCTGAGGCATCTCCACCAGCCAATCTAGATAGTCCGATCTGAGGCATCTCCACCAGCCAATCTAGATAGTCCGATCTGAGGCATCTCCACCAGCCAATCTAGATGGTCCGATCTGAGGCAGCTTGCCCAGCCAATCTAGATAGTCCGATCGGAGGCAGCTTTCGCTATTCACATGCCATTGAAGAATTATGCAAAACCATCGCTCAGACAACCAAGTACCACACAAAACAACCCCCCCCCCTCTCCAAAAACAAAAAATCCAATATACATCGTGGAACACATCACATCACCGGGTTATGAAGATGTTGGACATTCAACAAAATTCATCATGAATGTCAAAGGTGGAGAGAAATATGAAGATGTTGGACATTCAACAAAATTCATCATGAATGTCAAAGGTGGAGAGAAATATGAAGATGTTGGACATTCAACAAAATTCATCATGAATGTCAAAGGTGGAGAGAAATATAAAGAAGGTGTTGACCTAAATGGATGATTTTATTTTCAATACCGATACCTGATAGACATATCACATAATTGGGCGGGGGGGGGGGGAGAGATTGAGTTGACATTTCTATTGACAGAGTGCTACCTATTGAGTGTGGGCTGCTACACTATATAATGTGGACTGCCGTCTATAAAGTGGACTGCCGTCTATAAAGTGGACTGCCGTCTATAAAGTGGACTGCCGTCTATAAAATGGACGGCTGGCTTTAAAGTGGACTGCCGTCTATAAAGTGGACGGCTAGCTATAAAGTGGAATGCCGTCTATAAAGTGGACGGCTAGCTATAAAGTGGACTGCCGTCTATAAAGTGGACGGCTAGCTATAAAGTGGACTGCTACACTATATAAAGGGGCTACCACCTACAAAGTGGACTGCCTTCTATAATGTGGATTGCCTTCTACAAAGTGGACTACCACCTATAAAGTGGACTGCTACCTATATAGTGGACTGCTACACTATATAAAGGGGCTGCCACCTACAAAGTGGGCTGCCTTCTATAATGTGGATTGCCTTTTACAAAGTGGACTACCACCTATAAAGTGGACTGCCACCTATAAAGTGGACTGCCAACCTATACAGTGGACTGTCAACCTATAAAGTGGACTGCCAACCTATAATTATTAAGTGGTGTGAATTGCGTGAACGGAATCAAAGAAGTAGAATGGAGGCACGTGAGCCCATTTCACCTTTCATCAGCCAATCAGAAACTGGTGGTTTACTTTGTTTCATTCTTTCTTTACTTTGTAACTAAATTCTATTAGAGGTTCTCTAACGGGTTTACCCTGGGGTGGGGGGGAGGGGTTGCGGCTCTGCAAAATCGTAAAGAGCGATTAAATCACAGTGAAACTCCTTTCTAGTTAACTTGATGATTTTGTTTTTCTTTTTTTCTGAATTGTTTCCGTTTATTTTGTAACACTAAAATGAGAAGAGGTGAAATTATGAAAACTTTGTCGATGAAGAAATTTCAAAAGTAAACGATAATTGGCAGATTTTTTTTTTTTTTTTTTTTTTTTTTTTGTTTTTAAAAAAAAAAATATATATATTTTATTACAAATATTTTACTTTGTTTAAAAAAGTATTTCATGTCAGGGGTCATGTGACATTTTGAACATATCCCCCCACCCCCCAATTCCTGTTTGATGTTTAAAGGATGAAAAACTCCATTAATGACAGCAATCGTAACATGTCCTTTAGGTTAAAACATCTCGATTAAACTCTGATGTAGTGAGTGTCACGTGAACAAATCGTGATATCTTCGTCTAGCGCGACCGGCATTGATTTGATGAGATGCAGAAAAATGAAGGATGTGATGACAAATATAAAAAAAGTAACTCTCGTGGAGTTGAATGGGGTAAAGAAGAAGAACATACATCACATGGTTTCTTTGATTATATGAATGACGAATTTAAAAAAAAAAAAAAGAAGAAGAAGTAATGAACGTAAACAAATCGTGATATCTTCGTCTAGCGCGACCGGCATTGATTTGATGAGATGCAGAAAAATGAAGGATGTGATGACAAAAATAAAAAAAGTAACTCTCGTGGAGTTGAATGGGGTAAAGAAGAAGAACATACATCACATGGTTTCTTTGATTATATGAATGACGAATTTAAAAAAAAAAAAAAAGAAGAAGAAGTAATGGCACACATGATTGAGCAGGTCAGATGAATGAATGAAATGATAAAACCCTTTTGTTTTGACAAAGCTGGTGGCTGTTGGTATAATCGTTGGTGGTTTTTTAAAAGTAAATTTACCGGTCGTGAAGCCACCCTTTTGATAGACTGGATAGCAAAGAGGGGGGGGGGGAGGCGGTCACTAGCTTGGAGTTGACTCTACTGACATTAGATTTTTGCACTATATGTTTTATGATGATGGTATGATCAAATTTTAAACAGATGCAGACGTGGTTGTTGTTTTTCCCACCCAAAAATTCATTTTTGCATGTTTAATTTTTTTTAAATGTTTACTTGATGCTTTGAGTTTGTATACAAAGACAGATGCTCTCAAATTGCAATAAATGCGTCCCCAATTTAAAAAAAAAAATAATAATAAAAATTGGTTCACAATCCCTCTCTGTAAACATTACGTATGTAACCATCATGGTGCCCACACAATTACTGAGTAATCTTTCTTTTCACGTGCATGTTGTGTCCACCTTCAGTTGAGAACGCGATGTTACCCGAGGCCAGTTGTGGCCATTGCAGAAATGAGTTGTGCCGTGGCCATACGCTTTGCTTCACGTTAGCCGCAGGACATGGGGCTCAGCGTACGCGCTATTTTTCATCTGCTAAAACTTACTTAAAACTGTAAGTTATAAATAACTTTCCAGGTCAATAATCAATAATATTAATAGAGATCGAGGAATTTTTCGCACAATTCTGATATTCAAAAGAACGGAACACATAATTGTATAGGGGGGAGGGGGGCCGTAACCATGTCTTTCCAAGTCTGCGGATTCAAATAATAATATATTACAGTATTTGTCGCTTGTTTTATATTTCCACTTAATTTTAAGCGTCATTTCTTGTTCATCTGATGTCCAATTCGAGACTATCAGATTACTCATTGAGATCTTTTCCGTTAAGCGGTAACTTAAGCTGTGTTAATTTTTTAAACTCAAGATTCAGACAAAATCTCCATCAAGGTCAAGGTTTAAGCCTCTATCAATGGCTAAGATTTGAAATATTTTAAAAGTATACTTGTATTTTTTTTTTTTAAACGATTGAAGCTTGATATCTAAATTTATCAATATTTTATTTTTGGCCCAGATTGATCCTGCATGTCGAAGTCGATAAATATTTTAACAAACTGAACATTAAAGATGGCTGAATATTTCTACAAGTATAAGTTAATGAGATTTCAAGCTTTTAAAATTATTCCATCTTTCTTTTTCTAAAAAACATCAAAATTGTTTAATTTCCAAAACTTTAGTCTAGATATAAAAAAAACATATAAAAAAATTTTGTTTTAGGGTACTTATTTTGACAGACTCAAAACAAACATTTTTATTTTAAACCCCACTATCAAAAACACAATAAATTATAACTATAAATAAACCCTTGCTCTTTACAGTTGGAAAATCAAATGAGAACAGAGAATGCATGAATCACAACAATCCAAATATTAAGTCAAAGAAAGCACAAGGTTTGACAAAGATGAGTTAAGATTGGCTGATTGATTGGCTGATTGATTGGCTGATTGATTGGCTGATTGATTGGCTGATTGATTGGCTGATTGATTGGGTGATTGATTGGCTGATTGATTGGCTGATTGATTGGGTGATTGATTGGCTGATTGATTGGCTGATTGATTGGCTGATTGATTGGCTGATTGATTGGCTGATTGATTGGGTGATTGATTGGCTGATTGATTGGCTGATTGATTGGGTGATTGATTGGCTGATTGATTGGCTGATTGATTGGCTGATTGATTGGCTGATTGATTGGCTGATTGATTGGGTGATTGATTGGCTGATTGATTGGCTGATTGATTGGGTGATTGATTGGCTGATTGATTGGCTGATTGATTGGCTGATTGATTGGCTGATTGATTGGCTGATTGATTGGGTGATTGATTGGCTAGTTGATTGGCTGATTGATTGGCTGATTGATTGGGTGATTGATTGGGTGATTGATTGGCTGATTGATTGGCTGATTGATTGGGTGATTGATTGGGTGATTGATTGGCTGATTGATTGGCTGATTGATTGGCTAGTTGAATGGGTAGTTGATTGATCATTTCAGCAGTATTTCATTTTTTTAAATCAAAAAAAATCTTATTCAATGTGTGTTCACCACAAGAACAGTTTGAGTATACATTAGAACCCAACTCAACCCAGAGCTGCAGGCTTAATGCTAAAACATTGAGCTACTAACAACCTGGATCTGATGGATGTCTGCTGCATAATCCGCATTATAGATGGCACAGGAAGTGATAGAATATATCCATATCCTTTCACACACACACACAAAATCAGTAATAATATATCACAATACACTCTGAACATCTTAAAGTTATTCATTGAACTGGGTAAGTCGTGTGGTACTTGTCACATAACGAAATCTCTAAACAAAACAGAATTGCACACCTTCTCTGCAGCACAGCAACGGGTGAATGTTTTCACTAGCTAGACCAACGGAAAAACAAGAACCCAACCCAGAGAGGGTGTATCTGACCAAAGAGATGAGGAGATGGGTTAGAAATAAAATACGAGCAAGCGAACCGTGACATCTGAGCTACTACTGAGACAATCCTGGTGGCCAGGTTTAGAGGTGAGGATATGGTATATGATATGTCTGACGCAGTGGCGACAAAGGAGGTCGCTGCTCATGACTGTGTTCGGGCTGTTCCGTGAGGAGCTTGTGGATGTTGCTTCGGCTCAAGCGACGCTTACCGATGACGGAGACAGAGAGCGAGCGGGGACGACCGAGGAGCGGATCCTCGTGAGCACGCTGGGCTGCGAGGAAATCCTTACGTTGGGGGTAGTCGCGGGCAGAGGGTTCAGGACCAGAATTGGGATGGGATGGGTGGCATTGTGATCCGGGCAAATAGGGGTGGGGGTTGGAGGAGTTGGGGGCGCTGCGGTTGGGAACGTACTTGTTGTGAAGTGGCAAGACAAGGTGGGATGAAAGAGTGTGGGAGATGTCATGGCTTGGTGGAGGGATCTGATGGCTTGGTGGAGGGATCTGGTGGGTTGCCGTCATGTAAAAGGGTTCCCCATAATGGTTACCTTGGGTGGAAGTAAGGCCGGTACTTGGCGTGTGGTTTACGGCTATGTCCTTGCCCACAATTTGGTGTCGAGATTTTGTTGGTGAAGACATATCGATAGGGCCATCCTCCGTATCACGTGAGGACAGGGGGACAGACTCATACAATTTGGGAAGCCCTCCAGCCAGTGAATATGATGTAGGTGTTTTGAACACATTCTTCTGTTGCACGGTTGACTGTATGTAACTGGCACCCGAAGATACAGGAGTGTTGACGTAACTTGCCATCGAGTATTGTGTGCTGACCGGTGCCTGACCAGCAGGTGAAGACAGATAACCGTTTGGATTGCCTAGATTACCAGCCCCATTCGGGGTGGACCGTGACGACAGCTTGTCAGTGGACCTACTGACGTCCAGTAGAGGAACGGATGGCATTGACCAGCTTGTGGTCATTTTTGTATGACCTTTATGATTATCGTGACCTTGACCTGGGCTACCAGGGACGTTGTATGGTGAGTAAGAGACGCTGGACAATTTTGTAGGCATTGTGTTGCGTCGACGCTGTTGGAGTTTATTGTAGGCACCACTGGGCTCATCTGATACTTGGTTTAGCTCAAACTGCATCTCTGTGGGATAGGTCGTCTTCCTTTGATCTGGGCAACAGTCTCCAAGGTCACTTCTTCTGAGAGACATTCCAGGCTCAAGACGCCTCTCTGTGGGATGTGTCATCTCACTTTGATCAAGGCAACAGTCTCCAAGTTCCCTTCTCCTGAGAGACATTTCAGTCTCAAGATGCCTCTGGGAACTATATAGCACATGCGGTGCATTGTGGACAAACCTGTCTTGACTGTGCATAGGAAAACCCGCTCCATCTTTCAGAGGTTCTCGCAAAAGTTCCGCAAGTCTTCGTTTCTGCTCGGGCATCCTTAGCTTTTCACTCAGAGCGTGCACATCACCTGACAACGTGGGCCCCGTGACGTCTGGCTGGTCATGAGATGATGAGTCTCTGGGTTGAAATTCACCAAAGCCCGAAAACGAGGAGCTTCTCTTTGAGAAATCCATGACGCTGTCCGTGCTGACAGGTCTGTTTGAGAAATCCAGGACGCTTTCATCATTGCCTTCAAGGTAGAAGTGGGCCAAAGGTTTGTACTCCTGGGATTGCCTGTTCAAATTCACCAGGGACAGACTTCTCGGTGCCGTGAAGCTTGTACCATCTTTAAGTTCAGCATTTTTCAACGTCACACCTTCAGATGCTGGTGGGGAACTTCCTGGTGTGGGAAATAAAATGGCTGATGATGTTGACTTTGATACGTATCTTGGATCTGAGGTGTCTTTGTCCTTGTGCAAGTGATTTGCTGTGATTTCCTTTTCTGTTCTCCTTTCATTTAATGACATTTTCTTGCAAGATTGAGCACACGTGTCAGGCTCCGATCCGTATTCTGAATCATGTTCTGGGCCACGTGATAAGATTTCAACATCTGGCGGTACATCAAACTCTATGAGATGACGGTGTCTTACCTGACCATTTCCATTCTGATAATTGACTTGTTTAGCTACATTCTCTGGGCCGCAATTATTTTGCGTCACTTGGGCGGCAGCCTCGTTTTCGAGAGATACCTTCGTGTCCCAAACGTTTTTAGTTTCATTCAAGGAGCTTTCCATACAAGATTTCATCCCTGATGTCATGATATAACCATCTTCCTTCTGTTCACTGCTAGGCTTTTTGTCCATCAAAGTGGTCAAATTTGAGTGGGCTTCATCTGGGCTCTGATCTTTCTCACTTCCCTTATCTGAGTTCTTAGCTCCGAAAACTCTTGAGGCTTCATCCACCTCCGTCTCATTCCCTGCCAAATGTTTTTCCGACTCTAAATCACAAGAATTATCTTGTATGTCTTTCTGGTCACCGAGAGCAGAGTTCAAATCAGCTTCAGACTTGATTGAAATTTTCATGTCATCGTATAAACTTTGATGACAGACAAATGAAATTGACGTTTCGGGTAACTCTTTCTGACGCTTGCTGCACTCCCCACAACCGCTGTCTTTGTCTGTCTTTTGACCTCCAGCGCCGTCTGTCTTAACCATGAGACCATGGTCCCCCTGGCTCGGTGAAGAGCAGCCATCTTTACGTGACATAACTGGGTCAAGGACATGCAAGTTATTTTTGGAATGTAAACCCCCAGTGACCGTTTCACTGAGTCCAGTGTCACGTTCGGGTGATAGGTCATCGCTGTCCTCACTGCAGTCGCTCGAATTGTCAGCCACATCGATACAGGAAATGACACGTCTACACCCTTCTCCCATATTTTCTTCATCCAAAATAGATCGGATGCTGCACAAACCTAGGCCAAGGTCGATACCATTGTTTGTACTGATCATAATTTGCTGATCAACATCTGGAGGCGACAAAGTCTGCTTCAACCCAGGGATCGGCTCATTACATGGCACGTCTGGAACCCCATGGATAACAGTCCCAGAATCCTCCTGGTCTTGAGCCATATCCATGGGCAGTTTGGCACTGGATTTGTCCACTCTGGCGCCAAGGACGGAGTCTAAATAAATCGCAGACAATCCGCGGAGTTCAATCATCACATCGACCAGATGGACGAAGAGGAAAGGGAGATCACTGTGGTTGAGGATAAGCTGACACTTCAAGGCCATGGCCAGCTCAGTCTCGAGGTTTTCCAGATATCGGACATTGGTCAGTCCTTCCCGATCTGATGGGGAAAAGGAAGTAAATTAGTTTTAAACAATATTATTGAGGATTAGTTAGCTCAATAGCTCAAAGTTTTATGGGTTTTTGTTTTTTTCCTTCAAAGTTTCCAAAAAAATAATGGTTGACCAAAACTTGTACAAATGAACTTTCAGTGGGGACCAGAAGAATTTTAGAATAAAAAAGAAACTGTATTAAAAAAATTTTTTTTTTAAAATTTAAAAAAAAAAAAAAAAAAAAAAAAAAAAAATGTTAAAAAAAAATTTTAAAAAAAAAATTTAAATGGGGAAAAAAAAAAATTTAAAAAAAAAAAAAAAAAATAAAAAAAAAAATTTTTTTTTAAAAATTAAAAAAAAAAAAAAAAAAAAAAAAAAAAAAAATTAATTAGACTATTAGAATATTCCAATTTATAAAAATGTATACAAATATTTTAAGCAACTTATGAAAATCTTTAGTGATATAAATAATCAATAAAGATTTTTATGGGCCAGATTTCTGGAAAAGTTCTGAATCCTATAACACAGTTGCCTAGATCAGAGACTGCGGTTCCAGCAACACGCTGAATTGATAGTGGGGAAAGTTTGGTGTAAGCCTGTTTCCATCAAGCGGTTTCGAACCTTGTGACCGGACTCACCTGGACAGAAGATGAGCAAGGCACAAATCAAGGACACCTCCACATGGGTCAACCCCATTTTCTGGACCTTTTTCATAATTTGCCAGAACTTCTGAAAAATTTCTCCTATAAGTCCAATCTCTGCTAGTCTGCGGGGGAAAAAAAAAAACGATTAAGTTACTATACAAAATCTGTCACGCCATGATGCCGGCAAATAATTTCACTTCATACAGTTTAAGGATGTGATCATTTGCAAGACGAAAAATATAGATATATTTTTTTTTAATTCTAAGATTAGTAAGCTACACAATTATAGCCTGCAGTGAGTGTGTATGTGAGCATACTGCAGTGCAACGTGAAGGTGTTATCTGTTACAGTAAAAGTATACGAGGGTTTCAAAGAAACACACAGGATGGCATTCTCAAAGTGATATAGTGATAGGTGGCTACAGGCACACATCAAAGTAACACTGCAAATGGGGGACACCCCTGTCTTATTGTGACAACGGCCTCAAAATCACGCATCCCCCAAAGGGCCTCAGTATCATTCAACCCTAACCCTAAGGGCCTCAAAACCCACACCAGCTTTGAGGGTCTCACTGAATATCACTCTTCCTTATAGAAGGGCCTCAAAACCAACACTGCCTCTTTTGGCATCGATTTTACATTGCCTCCGAGGGCAAGACCCAACTGGCCCCTAAGTCCCTCAAAACCACACTGCCCACTCAATATCACACCACGCCTAAGGGCCTCAAAGCCACACCATTCAAAACTAACACCTCTCCCCCCCACACAAACATAAACATGTGTCATCCATGTCAGTTGCAAGAACAAAGACAACCTTGACAAAACAATATTGCTCCGGTTACTTTGTATAAGAAAGGCTGAAGCTGAGCTTGTCGTCAGTCCATAGATCCTCCTCTAACTTGACGTGGGCCGTGTTGTGAATGAAAGCAATCTGCAATACATCAATTCAATATGCAGATAGAAATAAGTTACGGATAGAAATAAGTTACGGATAGAAATAAGTTACAGACAGAAATGTGGTACAGACAGAAATGTGGTACAGACAGAAATAAGTTACAGATAGAAATGTGGTACACAATAGTTACAGATAGAAATAAGTTACGGATAGAAATAAGTTACAGACAGAATTAAGTTACAGATAGAAATGTGGTACACATAAGTTACAGATAGAAATAAGTTACGGATAGAAATAAGTTACAGACAGACATAAGTTACAGATAGAAATATTTTACACATAGATATAAGATACAGATAGAAACAAGCTCTTAATCCTTCTAAAAAAATACTTTCTTTCTATAGAACATCCAGTTTAATTTAATGAATACCCTCTTGCTAAAATAGGGACAGGTAACATTCACAGGTATCGGTGACATATAACATTGAAAGTTAACGGAGACAGGTAACATTGACATTTAATGGAGACAGGTAACAGAGACAGGTAACATTGACAGGTAACATTGACAGGTAACATTGACAGTTAATGCAGACAGGTAAGATTGACAGGTAATGGAGTTAGGTAACATTGGCAGGTAACAAAGACAGGTAACGGAGTGGGCCCCGCTTGTTTTTGACTCCTAGTTTGTAACAAGCAGCCGTCAGGCTCCGCACAGACAGGGATGATTTGTTACGATTGTTTTGAAGGCTCACCTCCAGAATACAACCTTTGATCAATGCCCGCTGGTCAGCCAAGCTGATGTCCAGGAACTGGGGGATCTTCTTGGCCATGGTCGTGATGAAGCGCACCACGGACGGAATGTACTGAGTGTAAAATGTTATGGGAAAGCTCTGCTGGCACCTTTCAACTGTCTGTGGAGAAGACAAGTTGGGCTGTCAGTGGAGAGGACATGTTTGGCTGTCAGTGGAGTGTCAGTGGACAAGTTTGGCTGTCAGTGGATTGGACAAGTTTGGCTGTCAGTGGATTGGACAAGTTTGGCTGTCAGTGGAGTGGACAAGTTTGGCTGTCAGTGGAGTGGACAAGTTCGGCTCTCTGTGGAGAGGACAAGTTTGGCTGTCAGTGGAGAGGACAAGTTTGACTGTCAGTGGAGTGGACAAGTTGGGCTGTCAGTGGAGTGGACAAGTTCGGCTCTCTGTGGAGAGGACAAGTTTGGCTGTCAGTGGAGTGGACAAGTTTGGCTGTCAGTGGAGTGGACAAGTTCGGCTCTCTGTGGAGAGGACAAGTTTGGCTGTCAGTGGAGAGGACAAGTTTGACTGTCAGTGGAGTGGACAAGTTGGGCTGTCAGTGGAGTGGACAAGTTCGGCTCTCTGTGGAGAGGACAAGTTTGGCTGTCAGTGGATTGTACAAGTTTGGCTGTCAGTGGAGTGGACAAGTTCGGCTCTCTGTGGAGAGGACAAGTTTGGCTGTCAGTGGAGAGGACAAGTTTGACTGTCAGTGGAGTGGACAAGTTGGGCTGTCAGTGGAGTGGACAAGTTCGGCTCTCTGTGGAGAGGACAAGTTTGGCTGTCAGTGGATTGTACAAGTTTGGCTGTCAGTGGAGTGGACAAGTTCGGCTCTCTGTGGAGAGGACAAGTTTGGCTGTCAGTGGAGAGGACAAGTTTGACTGTCAGTGGAGTGGACAAGTTGGGCTGTCAGTGGAGTGGACAAGTTCGGCTCTCTGTGGAGAGGACAAGTTTGGCTGTCAGTGGATTGTACAAGTTTGGCTGTCAGTGGAGTGGACAAGTTCGGCTCTCTGTGGAGAGGACAAGTTTGGCTGTCAGTGGAGAGGACAAGTTTGACTGTCAGTGGAGTGGACAAGTTGGGCTGTCAGTGGAGTGGACAAGTTTGGCTGTCAGTGAAGTTGACAAGTTGGGCTGTCTGTGGAGAAGACAATTTGGGCTGTCAGTGGAGTGGACAAGTTTGGCTGTCTGTGGAGAAGACAAGTTGGGCTGTCAGAGGGGTTGGACAAGTTGGGCTGTCTGTGGAGAAGACAAGTTGGGCTGTCAGTGGAGTGGACAAGTTGGGCTGTCTGTGGAGAAGACAAGTTGGGCTGTCAGTGGAGTGGACAAGTTGGGCTGTCAGTGGAGTGGACAAGTTTGGCTGTCTGTGGAGTGGACAAGTTTGGCTGTCTGTTGAGAGGACAAGTTGGGCTGTCTGTGGAGAGGACAAGTTTGACTGTCAGTGGAGTGGACAAGTTTGGCTGTCTGTGGAGTGGACAAGTTTGGCTGTCTGTTGAGAAGACAAGTTGGGCTGTCATTGGAGAGGACAAGTTGGGCTGTCAGTGGACATTTATGTGCTAATACATGTATTAGAGAGGATACCAAAAAAACCACCACTAAAATGTGAACAAATGATTTGATCATCTTTTGAGATTATTTTGTTAAAATATTTTTTATATTTTTTTTTTAAATTAACAACTAAACCATTTGATAATTTTATAACCAAGTTGTACATCCACACAATTGTGACGTATTATGTGTATTATGTCGTGTCTTAGGAAGCTCTGCCTTTTTTTTTTCCAACTCACCAGGTCATCTTTGCACTGATTTAGAATTCAGTTTTTGAAGAAAAAAAAAATTTGGTCAACTTACTGTTTACAACTAAGGTTAGGGCCAAAGATTAATTCAAGTCAATATTTGCTACTTTCTTGGGGTTGCATAGTAAAAGCCACCAGACCAAAGGTTCTAAGCTTGTTTGTTTTTAGTTTTTTTCTTTCTTTCCAATGGACCCCCTTTGCCAGTCAGGTGAAGCCTAAAGATCTCTTTACATGTACTGTTTGCTCAGAATCATCCCCCATTAAAAAAAATCAGTTGCTACAATCACAGAAATGATCAATCACATACAATGAACATAGATGCAAATCAAAAATGCAAATAAAGGCTTTATACGGGGGGGGGGGGGGAATTTTTTTAAAAAAAAAAAATAAATTACAAAAAAAAAAAAAATGAATAAACAAAAAAAAAGAAAAAAGTAGCAAAAAAAAAAGGGAAATAAAGGCTTTAAACGGGGGGGGGGGGTATATTTTTTGCGGTGTTGTTTAATTATAATTATACTACAGCCACTTAAATTAATAATGAGGCAGGCCCATAAAACCAACGGCGGTCAAGTTAAATACCATTTTATATCAATATTTTTAGGAATTTTAAAATGCTGAAATCAAGTCTGTACCTCCAGGGATAAGACGTCGGCGTCCGAGTCTGAGCCGTACGCCAGCACCGCAGATCTATACGATTCATGTATGTACAGCACCATTTGTTCTGTCTTCAACCTTAAATTTTTTTTTTTTTTTAAAGTATAAACTTGTTATTTTTTTTTAAATTACTCATTCAAAAAACAATTTTTTTTTTTTTTTTTTAAATCACTGTCCATAAACAAAAAGCTAAATGGTTCACTGCATCATCAATACAATTCTTTACTGAAATAAAAACAGATATGTTAAAATTTGCCCATCAACTAGTATGTCCTTTCAGACTTATTTATATATATATATGTCCTTCTTGACACTGAGATGTCAAGTAAAAAAGATATTTACCTGTCTATCCAGGTCAACGTGACCGTGTTGTGTTTGGGGCAACATAAAAAAACTGCTACTTGAGGGCCGGGATTTCTTAGGGCACCTGCCCAGTCTGACAGCTAGGAATAGGAAATTTAATATTAATTTTTTTTTTTTTTTTTTTTTTATCTATTGCAAAATATTTTTTATTTAGCATTTAAAAGGTACATTTTTTATTGGCGCATTTTCATGGCTGTATGTTGAAAATCATTTGAAATCAGATTAACCTGCCATTTCTGACACGAGTAATGAGCAAGACTACATCCATTCTTTTCTTTAACTGTTCATTTTTAACCCCACTCTTAAGTTATTTGCTGTCTTTGGTGCATGAGGATTTTCATCCCAGCTGCTTTACTTGACTAACAAGTCATTTCATCCCTACTGCTTTTCTTGACTAACAAGTCATTTCATCCCTACTGCTTTTCTTGACTAACAAGTCATCTCATCCCCTCTGCTTTTCTTGACCAACAAGTCATTTCATCCCAACTGCTTTACTTGACTAACAAGTCATTTCATCCCTACTGCTTTTCTTGACCAACAAGTCATGTCATCCCAACTGCTTTACTTGACCAACAAGTCATTTCATCCCAACTGCTTTACTTGACTAACAGGTCATGTCATCCCAGATGCTTTACTTAAAACTAACAAGTCATCTCATCCCAGTTGATTCAGTTGGGCACAGGCCAGGCAGAAATGTGTAACTCCTCTCAGTTAGCAGTATAAAGTGCTCTCATAGCATCACAGTGGTAACACTAAGGGAAAAAGGGGTGGGGGGTTATTAAATCAAACAGTTAGCAGCAAGGCCTTAAGTGAATGGACTACAGTCCGAATTACCTTCATGTGACATCCCCGAAGAAATACATTTCTGGAGCCGGCAGTACTGACAACGATTCCGGCTGATTCTCATAATCAGACACTGGCTTGGGGTGTCGCACGGTTTATAGGTCAGCTGATGGCGAATGGTGCGACGAAAGAAACCCTGGGAATGGTGTAGGAGATATTTTGGAGGCTACTTTGATAAAGCTAATAATTAAAAACATGGACTTTTACGTTATTTCTTCCAATGTGATAATGTCGCAAGAGTGGTTAGTACAAAGGGGAAGCTTTGAGATACAGAGTCCAGACAAGTGACGGTCAGAGACCAGGCAAATGATTGTCACAGTTCAGAGAAGTGACAGTCAGCATTCAGAGAAGTGATGATCAGAGTTCAGAGAAGTGATGGTCAGCGTCCAGAGAAGTGATGGTCAGAGTCCAGGCAAGTGATGGTCAGAGTCCAGAAAGTGATGGTCAGAATCTGGACAAGTGATGGTCAGAGTTGACACAAGTGATGGTCAGATTCCACAACGTCTCACCTTGCAACCCTCACATGAAAATACGCCATAATGGAAGCCAGAGGCCTTGTCTCCACAGATCTTACAGAGAATGTGACCTTCTCCCGGGGTAGCTGTGGGAGAATGGTAATTAATTTTATCATGTTTGTGTCATTGATATTATCCCAGTTTGTTTCATAGCTTTAAAAACAAATAAAGTGGTTTAATGCTATCATAAACAGTGAGAGTAAAAGGGGGGGGGGGGGGTTAAAGTGGCCAAAAAAATGGATGAAATGGAAGGGGGGTGAAAGTGGGAGGCGGTGAATGTGAAGACTGGGAGGGTTCCACGGAAGGGTATAAATATCATATTTCCATATGACAAGGACAAATGTTTGTGTCATTGATATTATCCCAGTTTGTTTCATAGCTTTAAAAACAAATAAAGTGGTTTAATGCTATCATAAACAGTGAGAGTAAAAGGGGGGGGGGTGTTAAAGTGGCCAAAAAAATGGATGAAATGGAAGGGGTGTGAAAGTGGGAGGCGGTGAATGTGAAGACTGGGAGGGTTCCACGGAAGGTTATAAATATCATATTTCCATATGACAAGGACAAAATTGTGCGTATCTCATGCCAGACACTCACCACTTTTGGGGAACAAGTTCTTGTGTTTAGACAGTTTGGGTAGTTTGTCCATCCACTTGTCCAGGTAGACACAGGCTTGCATTGTTCCCCACTCACCAGGACATGGAGATCTGGGGCAGGCTCACCTCATCTGCTCCAACAAGAACCTGCAGATCATAAAAAAGTTGAATGTTAGTTGCAGCTTACATGCCCTGCCATACTCATGGACTAGCCAGTAGTGCTGCGTACATGCCCTACTTTAACAACATGAAGACTTCTAAACGCACACAAATAAATATATTTAAATAGTTCATTATTTGAAATTTCAGTAAGACCGTTAAAACTCCAAATAAATTTAATTTAAATTTTAAAAAATGTTTTAAAAACATTTAACTGACACAAAAAAAAAAAAAAACATTACCTAAAAATACAACCTTACATAGTCGAAAATATTTCGTGGAAAAATTGGCGTTATTATGGCGTTATTGTTTTTATCTTAAGGATATAACAATGCATCAAAACCCAATTCAGTTACAGCCCTTTTAAAAAAAAAAACATGGATGTTATAGAAAGATGAGACTTCGCAATACCAGGTAGAAAGTAGCGCAATGCTCCTACCCATTAGCATTCGTGTAACGTCGGGTCGTATCTTCTAGTATTTTCATATGCATTTTTAGACCGTGGCGATTTAAAACCAATTTTTTTTTTAAAATCTTAAGTCTCATCATCATTGTACATTCGATTCAATCCAGCATTTCCCACCTTTAATTTTTTTTTAACAAACCAAACACACCATTCTGTCAAAGTCATTAACATGCACTGGCATGGGATGATTAGCAGCGACCTTCTTCCTGAGAAGACCACCGCCTTCTTCTGGACTGGGTCGCCTCAAGTCGGTTTGAGGTGGATGACTACTTTGTGTTGGTTTAGAAATTAGATTTAACCACCCTTTGTGCTCTCTTACCCCCCCCCACCCGCCCAACCCATAATGTTATCCCCCTCCCCCACAACCACCCACACCCACTCTCTCATTTTAACGGGTTGCTTAAATAAGTGACCTTTACTTGGTCAATGTCACATTACTTCCAAGGGGAGGCACAGCCTCACATCAAAGACGGACAATCTCCCTTCAGCCTCCCTCACCCCCCCCCCCCCTTCTG